ATAAAATACTGCGGCTACGTCGTACGCGAACTACCTATCCCCGTAGATTTAGCGGAATTCGAGAAGCGCACATTTACGCAGCTAGGTCCAACCTAGACGTCAGATCTAGATTTTAGGATAGCAATTGCGATCTAGATGCAGTCATCTTCATGCTCTCTCTACACATAAAAACTGGGTGTCAACTCAGTTGTCATATGTTTATATCCATCTATACAACCTTCATATTTGTGACACATGAACGCCTAGTACATCATTAGCGAAGTGAACAAGACTCCAACGGAAAGCTTATGCTATGTGTCAAATCGAGTTGCTGCATGTGCTACCGAGCGACAACATATGCACATGATTCCTGACATAGCACCAGGAATATACAATAACCATAATAATACATAAAACGTTTACCGTGTAGTTCTCCTCTTACGACATTAAGATATGCGAGACATGAGACATCCTGCAAAGCCTGGGATTTGCTACACAACACCGGCATGCAAAGTATGATCACAATCACGCAATACGAGCATCCGGCGTTGTCCTATATTTCGACCCAGCTGGTCGGAGCTAACTCGGATCCATACTTTGTCCATTACCGTAATTGTGAATAACGACGACGGGAGCTTATTTCATCAGCGTCATTTCTGATGTGGTACTAGGCGGATAATACAGCTGAACGGATCAATGGATTGATAGAAGAATGAAGGGATTGATGAATAAATGTATGGATGAGTGGATTGATGGATGGACGCACGGAGGGGCAGACGGAGCAACTGGTGAATAAATCGATGGGTTTACACTTCTGTTAGAAATCCATTCGACTTGTGTCTGATTATCCTCCCGCCACATTTGCTAATATAAACCAGTTCTACAGTTGCCGCGCACACTGTCTTGAAATAAGAGGCAACTACACTGTATTCTATTTTATAATCGATCCACCTGTCCACACCTTGTGTTGCAGGTAGCGGAATGCTCGAGAATTTCTTGAAGGATAAATTGGTCTAGAATCAGGGTGAGGGGAGAGGGTGATATGTGAAAGCAAGATGTTAGAATTCGGCATTACAGATTTTTCTACTACTGTAAGATTCTCCAACGCGTTCCTCTAACACAACGGTATTGGTCTACCTGTTTTTGTCCGCGGTCGCGCGCGCGCACATACACACACACACACACACACACACACACACACACACACACACACACACACACACACACACACACACACACAC